GTCCTGTTTTAGACCTAGTTTAGACCTGGTTTTAGTCCTGATTTAGTCCTGGTTTAGTCCTGGTTTAGACCTAGTTTAGACCTTCTTTTAGTTCTGATTTTAGTCCTGCTTTTAGTCCTGATTTAGTCCTGGTTTAGACCTGGTTTTAGTCCTGCTTTTAGTCCTGATTTAGTCCTGGTTTAGTCCTCGTTTAGACCTAGTTTAAACCTGGTTTTAGTCCTGCTTTTAGTCCTGATTTAGTCCTGGTTTAGATCTTGTTTAGACCTTCTTTTAGTTCTGATTTTAGTCCTGCTTTCAGTCCTGATTTAGTCCCAGTTTAGACCTGGTTTGATCCTGGTTTTAGTTCTGGTTTAATCCTGCTTTTAGTCCTGCTTTCAGTCCTGATTTAGTCCCAGTTTATACCTGGTTTAGACCTGGTTTAGATCTGGTTTTAGTTCTGGTTTTAGTCCTGATTTAGTCCCAGTTTATACCTGGTTTAGACCTGGTTTAGATCTGGTTTTAGTTCTGGTTTTAGTCCTGATTTAGTCCTGGTTTAGACCTGGTTTAAAAAAAAAGATCTGTTTTACTATTTCAGCTTCCCTTTCACAGACTGGTCTCTACTCGTCCCACTTGACATTATTTAAGACTGCGTGCTGCGTGTATTAAACCGAATCAAAGTCCGACCATTCAGATTTATGACTCTTATTTGCTCTTAAACGCGGCAGTGGTTGCTATGGAAACAAGAGCCCGCCCCTTCTGTCTCTCCCTCCTGCCCCCCTCCGCCGTGCGAAGGCTTCTGGGTTGCCAGGTTTGCGCAGTTTCAGCAATTGTGAGCTCACTTTTCATTTCTCCAGGCTATGTATTTTGGGATTGTTTCAGAGAGGGTTTTCAGCAAGCCAGAATTTCACAGAATATTTGTTTTAGTATTACTATTATAAGTTTTAAATGTCTTTTAATAGGCCACATTACTGAAATTAAAACAAAACATCTTCTGTTGTGTTGTAAATGCAGCACAGTGGTCAGTCTTGCGTATTTGTTCATGTAACCTAAAGAATTACATACATATTTTTGGATTTTAAAATAAACCGGACCACAGCTTACTTTTTAATGCAGCCTAACATTACCTAACTCATAGCTGAAAGTGAAAATTTATTATTTATTAGCACTTACACTTAAATCAAGTTAGTAAATGTAATTGTAAGTATAATATAATATAATATAAGATATAAATAGAAATGTCATCTTCTCAAGTGTCGTTACAGTTCATATAGTTAAAATAGTAAAAGAATAAATAAAAAAACAACACACAGTTCGACTAGAAATGTCTACTTACTTAAATATTAGAATGTTAAAAGACTATAGCTCTACTATAGCATATCCACCGAAGTTAACTGGAAATATTTTGTTTTTATTTCATTTTCATTCATTTATTTATTGTTCGTTCAAATTACAACTAAGTATAACATTGTACATACATTGAACTCAGTGCAGTATTCCCTAGGAGTGTGCAAAAATATCAATATTTCGTATTGTTTAATGTGATGATACAGTATCGATATATTAGACTGCTGCTGTATCGAGTATTTTTTGGTATATTTTACTAAATTATTTTGTTACAACGCTACAGTTTAGAGGAAAGAAATTTGTTTATGTGACACATTTGACATTTTCACTGTTTTGACGAGTAAAATGTTTGTGTTTTATATGAACTTTGCACAAGAAGTGGTTTAACAAAGACTTTTAGTATCACAGCCATGATTTAGCCTTTATTTTTTATTGAACCGTATCGAATTGATTTGAAATATATTGTATCGAATCGAAAGCTCACTGTATCGAGATATGTATCGTATTGTGGCCTATGTATCGAGATATGCATCGTATCGTGGCCTATGTATCAAGGTATGTATCGTATCGTGCCCTATGTATTGAGCTATGTATCATTTTGTGGCCTATGTATTAAGATATGTATCGTATCGTGGCCTATCTGTCGAGAAATGTATCGTATCGTGGCGTTTGTATCGAGCTATGTATCGTATCATGGCCTGTGTATCGAGATATGTATCGTACGTGGCCTATGCATCAAGATATGTATCGTATCGTCAAGTTCTTAACGATACCCAGCCCGAGTTTTCCCATAAAACATGAAGAAGTAAAACCATACAATCAAAGTAAGCCGATGACAGGGTGTGGACTGAAATTAAAGCTCATTATGCCTATTATAACAGCGAACTTACCACAAATCGCGAAAATGTTACTTCATCGCTCCCGTTTTCTTGTTTCTGCGGTGAGATCTGGCACCCCCGTGTGCGCTCCCTCTCCTCTCTCCACTGCGCACCGTCACTCTATTTAAATTCACTCATCCACACGGACTCCGCATCTCCTGCTCGCATTCACAAGTTGTTTTTACCCTCAAAGAACAAACTACGGGATAAAGTTTCGCGTTTTGAGACTCGGGAATCGTTTTCACCGCCTCCACAATGACTACGGAGCGGCGACGCAGCAGTTTTATCGGGGTAAGTCGCGCGTAATGAGACTTTTTGGAGACGAGGATGAAGTTTGGTGTGTTTTTTTGTCTCGTCATTGTTCGGGATCTTGCAGCATCTGAAAACACGCCGATTGCAGCTGCCAGCTAGCTTAATTAAAAACCAACAACAATGCCTTTTTTCTTCATTTCATTCACAGTTTATCGTCTTTTCTTTGCGGGATATTTTTAGTCTTGCACATTTTACGACGTGCGTTTGGGGTTAACAGGTGTGACTGACTGACTGAATGAATGGATGGACACGCAGTTGGCGATTTGCAAAAAGTTTCATGTTGGGCTGGAAACAAAAGAGGAATTGGGGGAAATTGTCTGCACGTTTTTAGCTTTCAAACGTGAGCTCCCGGGATGTGTTTAACCATTTGGATAGATTTAGATTTAGCTGCGCTTAATCTGGTGTTATGTAACAAACGTGCTAAAGACCAGCTGGACTTGGACTATTTGTGTTTTTGCATTAAAACCAGGCCGTGGGAAAGTGTTTGTAATGTATTATTTAGCTAAAAGAAAATCACTGAAACTAGTCTTGCTTATCACAATAACATAAAATAAGTAAAAAATAAGTATGAGGACGTTTTTAGTATAGTAGTTTGTGGATAAATTAAAACAATCAACATCTGGCAAGTGCCCTGCCTTATGGGGGTGAGCTGTATTGACAAAAAATAATAATATTTTGCCCATGTCACAAAAGGCATGGTCTAATTTATTTATTTATTTCATTTTAGTAACTAGGGATGTAACAATAATCAAAATATTGTGATATCGTATTGTCAAAGTTCTCACCGTAATATCGTGGACCATCACAATATATCGAATTACAAGTCTCTTTGCTGAAATTAAGGTTTATGGTGCAGCAATTACTAAAAAAAAAAAAAAAAAAAAGACAGAGGGAACTACATAGACCATGATCCTTTGCTCCATTTCAGTGTAGACTATAATAGAAATAACAGTTCTAAGCACTTTTAAGTCTTAGTTCTTTGGATTATGTCTTGTCAAGGCATTTTAAGAGAAAAAAAGTTTGTTAGCCTCCACAAAATATCTGAATATCGTACAGAGTGATTTGGATATTGTTACATCCCTAATCGTGAGACTTCCCACCATATCGTGAGCTTCCGCAATAAATATCATACCATGAGGTTCATACTGTGATGATATCGTATCGTGAGACTTGGATATCGTTACACCCCTATTAGTAACATAAAAAACAAAACGGTGTTCTTATTATGCCAGGTATCATCCTTTGTTACGTACTGTTTACTTGCATTACTTGAATACTTACATCTTGTTTATGTTGTTTTTATGTTGTTTTTGCTCTGTAAAGCACTTTGTGATTTTTTAAATTTTTTATTTATTTATTTTTTTAATCTGTGAAAGGTGCTATATAAGTAAAGATTTACTGACTTACTTACTTACCATCTTAATGAAAACACCATTGAATGCCATAATTTAAAGTTTTGGGTAAATTTTTTGTGTTTCCTGAAAAACTTATTTATTAAGAACTTATTTTAGGAAGGTGTCGATATACTCTTTTTTTTTTTTGGATTCTTAACCTTTTTGGATTCTCAACCTAAGTATCAGGTTTGATACTTTTTATATCAGTTCTATGATACTAAAATGTGCTTGTAAAAATATTAGTTGTGGCTCGAAAATTACAGCGAGCGGGCTTGCATCTCCACAAACCTGACTCTACTAGGGCCTGTTTCTCTGGAAATGTTGCTCCTTTGGTTGTAATCTTTGAGCCAGGCTGGCGTTACCTAGTTCCTCCGCTCAATTTAATTTCTCCACAGCGACTAGGTCAGGAATTGAAATACACTAGATGTTTTGCAAGAACCCCAGAAGTTGTAGCGAAAAGTTGTGAAGCCATGACGTTAAACTCAAGCACATGTCTGTGTCCCTTTGTGGAACAGCACAACAGTAAACAAAACTGTCAAGATGGATGTAGACGAAGACAGACATTCTGTGTTGTCAACGATTCCCGAGATCGAGGATTTAAAACTGGAACAAAGAGAATGTTTGGTGAATTTTATCAAGGGGAAAGACGTTATTGCTCTTCTTCCTAACGAGTTTGGCACATTACATACCAAATAGCAGCGTTTGGTTAAATAAAAAAAGTACCCACCTACTGTCGAGCGAACAAATCCTAATGCTGCGAGGATGAATCAGGCTAGTAACCTTCCACAAAATGACATCAAATCTATCTATCTCCTTGGAAAATGTTCCGAACTATGGCTTTAACTTTCTGTTTCCATGGAATCATGTAGGTGACGTGACATCTCCTCCAGAAAGATTCATACTGTAGCTTTTTAAAATGGAACAAACTTTAACTATATATGCTTGTATGAATGATTATACTGCAAGTTTCTTTTAATCTTTTCCACTTTTTTCCAACTTTTTGTCAGTAAACACAACACAAACTAATTTTTGTAGAACATTAAACTGCCACAAGCCTTGTTCTCTCCTAAATAATCCATCTTGTCTCCTCCAGGTCCCTATAAAGAACATAGAGAGGGAGCTGATTTGCCCCATCTGTAAGGAGCTCTTCACTCACCCCCTGATCCTGCCCTGTCAGCACAGCGTCTGTCACAAATGTGTCCGCGAGCTGCTCATGCTCAACCACGACGACTCCTTCGACGCGGGCTCCGAGTGCTCCTTACCCGGCAGCCCCAGGTCCCGGGTCCCGTCTCCCTCCATGGAAAGACTGGACCGCCTTGTCAGATCAGGTACAGGGAGACCACAAATATTTTGTTTACTCTTTTGGAATTAGTTTGTATTTCATCTGCATTAGGGTTGAAAATCAGATAATAATCAATACTAAAACTGGTTTTGAAACTAGATACTCATTTGAGCTGGTATCAAAGACAAAAATGATGATCTTTAGTAAGTATTTTAGTATTTTTTTTGTATTGTGATAACACTAGGTAAAAATATCACCAAATCTCAATAGGTGCCCAAATAAACTCAATTAGATGTATACAATTTAATTTTTAGCCCCATTTTGGTTGTATCTCAGGTTTTATTTTGGTAATTGACAGCATCAGCGTCTCACCTCTTCGAGAATGTTGCAGCCTCATGTTGTTTTAGTGCTGCCATTTGTCACACTGTTGATGACCGGGGCTTTCAGTGACCTGTTTAGATGTGTTGCTCCGTATTTCGAGCCGCTAATGAGGTAACAAAATTGCTCTTAAAGGTGCACTGGTGGTTTTCTGGAAGGTCCCTCACCAGCTTCTCTGCTCTCTGGAATGTTTGGAATGTTCCCCAGAGACAGCAGGGGACACCACAGGGCCAGGTTACATGTCTGATCTGTGAAGGAGCAAGCCCACTCTCAATAAGATGATCCATGTTATTGCGTGAAAAAGAAAGATGAATACAGAACATTTCCACGGAGACAAGCAGGTGGCAGATTCTTTAACGTCCAACTGGTTACACAACTTTGGTATTCTGGTTAATTGTATATTAAAGATGCGTTATTTGACGTTTATTGGTATGTTCCTTGCTTGTCTCAATGGACATGTTAAGGCTTTGCTTGGAAAGTTCCACCGTATGGCATTCATCTAATCTGTCTCCATGGAAAAAAGCAGATTACTGTATTTTCTGGACAATTGAGAGCACCTGAATATAAGCCGTATCAACAAAATTTTAACTACATTTTAAAATTGTAAATATATTGGCCACACCTGAATATAAGCCGCAGGTGTCCACGTCTTCAAGAACGTTTTCAAGTTCGGGTCGTCTGCTTTTATCACCCCTGAAAGTTTTAATTGTCTTTTTGCATTGAGTCAGTTCGTCACGCTGCCGTCGCCAAAATCTCACCATCGACTCAGTGATGTCGAGTTCACGTGCAGCAGCTTTGTTTACTTCTTTCACAGTCAGATCACTCGTCTTTAACTTAAAAGCTGCATCATCTGCATTTCTTCGTGTGTTTTCCATGAGGAGAGGGGTGTGTGCATGAAGCTCAAAATAGCTGTTCAAAACACAATCAAACTAGAATCTTCCTCGGCGCATCACTCCCGTCTCTCCATCTGCGCATGTCTCCTGCAGAAAGAGTCTCTGTCTTGTCTGGATCATGTCAGAGTCTTGGAGGATTTCAGCAGATTTCTGACTCTCCTGGGGGTTAGTTCTATCAATCAGGTGTGGGTGGATGTCAGGCTACTGAAGTTCGAGATGTTTCTTCTCATCATTTATGCAAACAGGTTATTAAGACGTATGCCACTCACTAATGTTAATTTAGCATCGTAACTTATTTTATCACATGGCAGTAAACTGTTTGAGTGCACTGACAATATCGCTCTCTAGTGTAGCAACTTCATGTTCACCCTAGATCCATGTGTGAGCCGCACAGACAGTTGTGTCTTCTGCGGTCAGGCTGCACGTATCCACGGTGTTGCCAAACCATAGACCGTAAATATGAATGGACAATGTGAAAAACAAATAATCCGTCCATATATTCGCCACATTGTTTTATTAGCCATAGGGTTCAAAGTGTAAAAAAAGAAAATGGCAGCTTATAGTCCGGAAATTACGGAATAAGTTTAAAATCCCTCAGCTGTCCAGATAGAATCCATGGCAAAAGGAGAAATGCAATTTGTCAATTGTTTCGCAGATCATCCAAGCTGCTTCTTCAGTTGGAAGTGGCTGAAGAAGCAGCTTGGATGATCTGCAAAACATATTGGGAAACAAATGACACATTGAATTTCTCCTTTTGCCAAGCAGGTGATAGTACCAGGCCATGTTACAGGTCAGAGACTGGAGAGGCGATCCTAGTAACAGTAAGAACACGTGTTTTTCCAGGTTATTTCCAAGCAAAAGGAACACCTGTAATAATTGAATAAATGCATGATGGGTAAATTACTTTAAAACTGTAATGTGTTATTTATTACTTGTTAGTGTCATTTCAAAGTAATTTGTTATATTACTGTGTTTTTTAAAATATAAAACATTACATGACTGTTGCAACACTTAAGTTACTCTCAACAAAATAACTGCGAAGATGCTGAACTTTTGCGCCGTATATGGACTGAACCAGGTCTAAACCAGGTCTAAACCAGGTCTAAACCAGGTCTAAACCAGGTCTAAACCAGGACTAGAACTTGCAATTTAGGACAGCCCCTGAGAGTACCCAGAGTCCGTGGAACAGGATGTCTGCAAGACGCGATTGGGCCTCAGCTGTGGTTAGTGCCGTGGAGTTCTGCGCCGGTCCTTTCGCTCGCAGTTACCTGACAGTCTACGCGGGCACGTCTTTGGCATTTCATTGCTGCTAATATCACGGTAATTTTAGCGAAAAACCCACCACTTCAATCCAGGTTAAAAAAAGCATTGTAACGCGCGTTACTGACATTTGTACCGAGTAAAATATTACCACTTTTTTCCCTGTAATCCCGAACATTACTGCGTTACAGCAAAAAGCAACGCATTACAGTAATATGTTACTTTTATAACGCGTTACTCCCAACACTGATGATGGGTAAATTAAATCTATCAGAAAAGATGGATGATAGTTACTTTTCTTGATCCTGAAGGAAATTCAAAGTTCAGCAGCAACAACATGGAAAAGAGAGTGCACCTTTTTAAATTAATCTGAACTAAAATGGGTAAAACCAGATTATTATCCCACATACCAGTAATTTAAAGTCTGGAACATACACATTTTATACATTGCTCAGCACAGAGGAGCCAGAGTTTCTGTTTGAACTAAAGGAAATGCATGTATCATATTTATTATAGGCTCCACAATGACTCACAAGAAAGTCAATATTACAGGAAGTAAGCACAGAGGATAAAAGGCATATGATCCTCCCTTTAATCCACATTGTTTCCAGCTGCACGGGACTTCAACTTCACAAATACAGTCTGAAGGGAAATGCATTGTTCAGCTCAAAATGTTTTGTCCAGAACACAATAATGATCTATTCTTGTATTTGTTCATGAGAAAAAAGGGCTGGTCTCAGGGGGAGGGCATCTTACAATAAAATTCAGTTTAAAAAAATCCAGACTGATCTCTTCTGTAATATTTTAATACAGATTGATATCAGTCTAGTCTCCACGCCCTTTGCTGCGTCCCTAGAGTGTATAAAGAAGCGGACTAAGGGAGTGTGACGTAGTGATAGTGAAGCTCATGATACTCGCAGTTTTAAGGGCAAAATTTGGAGCCATTTCCACAAAATAAAAACACCAGGACCATGTAGAGTAGGTTAATATGATTATTTTAAGGCCAAACTGACGAGATGTGACAATATTTCATCGTAAAGTTAATTGGAGCCAGGGTCAGTGGGGCCAGAAGATCCCCCATGAACATTCTGACGAAATCTGTGATGTTTTTCTAGTCTCCTGTGATATTTTTTTTCCTTTATTTTTTCCTCTCAAGCAGCCAATATCCTACAGGCTCTATTTGCACTTCACTTTTAATGTAAATTACTTCTGCAAACAAAAAAAGATCCTGTTTACATTCATAAAACCTGCTAATCCAGAAGTTTAGACCTTAAATATGTTCAGAAACCTGTGTTGGGAGTAACGCGTTATAAAAGTAACAAATTACTGTGATGCGTTGCTTTTTGCTGTAATGCAGTAGTGTAAGGCATTACAAGGGAAAAAAAAGGTGATATTTTACTTGGTACAAATGTCAGTAATGCACGTCACAATGCATTTTTAACCTGGATTGAAGTAGTGGGTTTTTAATTTTTCTTCATACGAATTCGTTAAAATCACAGTGATATCAGCAGCAGGGAAACGCCGTCCTGGTTTTAGTCCTGGTTTTAGTCCTGGTTTTAGTCCTGGTTTTAGTCCTGGTTTTAGTCCTGGTTAGTTCTGGTTTTAGTCCTGTTTTAGTCCTGGTTTTAGTCCTGGTTTTAGTCCTGGTTTTAGTCCTGGTTTTAGTCCTGGTTTTAGTCTGGTTTTAGTTCTGGTTTTAGTTCTGGTTTAGTTCTGGTTTTAGTTCTGGTTCTTTTAGTTCTGGTTTTAGTCCTGGTTTAGTCCTGGTTTTAGTTCTGGTTAGTTCTGGTTTAGTTCTGGTTTTAGTTCTGGTTTTAGTTCTGGTTTAGTCCTGGTTTTAGTCCTGGTTTTAGTCCGGTTTAGTCCTGGTTTTAGTCTGGTTTTAGTTCTGGTTTTAGTCTGGTTTTAGTCTTTAGTTCTGGTTTTAGTCCTGGTTTTTAGTCCTGGTTTTAGTCCTGGTTTAGACCTGGTTTAGACCTGGTTCAGTTCTGATTTAGTCCTGGGTTTAGACCTGGTCAGTCCTGTCTTTAGTCCTGTCTTTAGTCCTGTTTTAGTTCTGATTTAGTCTTCTGGGTTCAGTCCTGGGTTCAGTCCTGGGTTCAGTCCTGGGTTCAGTCCTGGGTTCAGTCCTGGGTTCAGTCCTGGGTTCAGTCCTGGGTTCAGTCCTGGGTTCAGTCCTGGGTCATTTCTGCTTTAGTCCTGGGTTTAGTCCTGGGTTTAGTCCTGGGTTTAGTCCTGGGTTTAGTCCTGGGTTTAGTCCTGGGTTTAGTCCTGGGTTTTGTCCTGGTTTCGTCCTGGGTTTTGTCCTGGTTTCAATGTGGTTTAGTCCTGGTTTCGACCTGGTTCATTCCTGATTTAGTCCTGGTTTCGACGTGGTTCAGTCTTGGGTTCAGTTCTGGGTTTAGACCTGGTTTAGACCCGGTTCACTTCATATATGGCACAAAAGTTTGACATCTTTGTACAGTTATTTTGGTGAGAGTAAATTAAAAGTGCTGCAGTAGTCGTGTAATGTTTT